AAGGACTTGCGCAGCGTGGCCCATCAGACCCCTTGTCTGAAACTGCTCCCAAACAGCTCGGTGCAGGCTGGTTCTGGGAATGGAAAAGCATCCTTTCAAATCAGTGTCAGTCAGACTCTGCAGCCTTGCTTTGTGCTTGTTTGCATACGATCTTCTGTTGCTGGTAGTGCGGCATTGCTCGGGCAGCTGTGCTAATGAGTTGCTTGTATGTCACTTGCGTCTTCGCATCTGACTGTCCCATGTCCTGTCAGAACGTCCTCGGTGCGTACATGAGGCAGACATGTTCACCGTCTGTTGGTCATCTCTCAGAACAATCACCGCACACGCTGCGCCAGAGCTGGGGTGGAGAGGGGGGATAACACTGGACAGCCTATCTGCACTGGTCACGATGTGGTCGCGAAATGAAGACCGAGTGCCCTACCTAAATGCAGCTCGGTGGCCATTGAATTTTCTGCTTTTGTGCAGTCCTCGATGACATAGATCGAAGCTAGGGTACACTAGGATACAGGTCTGAAGCTAAGAATTCGGCCGAAACCCCTCGATTCTCGACAGCAAGGTGTGGCTTGGGAGTCAGGCTTTCAGGTTGCATTTAGGATCATCCATCCGGCTTTTCGCCATCGGACCTGCACCTGCACATCAACCCACTCTCTCTTCCTCTTCCACCCTCCCCCCAGTTGAAACCGTCACCAACCTGAAAGTATCTCTCTCTCTCTCTCTCTCTCTCTTCTTCGGTCTTTCATGCGGCTGAGGAACTTCGTTCATTGGCCCTGGCCGTCCGCGGCGGGCTCCGCCTCTGCCTCCTGACTGTTGAAGCACTGTTCTTGAGTGGCGCGCTCTCAGTTGCTAAAATTGTCAAAATACCTGAAGCCTGCTGTTCTATACCACATGTACTGAACCCTGAACGCTGAAGTTCTGCATGAATTCTCCCGTGGCTTCGGTCAAGATTCAGCAGCTCAACAAGCGACACGACGTCGCAAGGACTAAATTGGCTTTCTAAGCCGGACCAAAACCCGTAGCTCGCGCAGTCCTTTGACCGCTTGATTTCATCTTGCACGTCCGCCAGCGAGATCATGGGCGGCGCCGTCATGGCCGCCCCGTCCTCGTTGGCTTCTTTCGCCTTCTCGAAGTTCTTTTTCAGGTCCTGGTTCCTGGGCTGCTGGGGTTGTAGAAAAAGACCTAGAGACTCTAGGCCGAGATCCTGTAGAATCCCAGAACCCCATAAGCCCCACAAACCAAGGCTAAGGGAGGTAGGGAGGCCTTTCAAAGGTTTATAGTTCAAGGTTGCTCTAGAATAAAGAGGACAACAGCAACGTATTCCGCAGAGCGTGCCAGGGTCAGAAGCCTGACGATCTCCTCCTCTTGCATGCCCTGGTCCTTGGACACGAAGGGGGGGTAGACATGAACACTTGCTTTCTTGTTTTCGCAGGGCCTGGGGGTGTTGGGGCCTCGGATTTGTTCTGAATCCCCACGGCAAGCAACCCGAAGAGCCCCCCTAATCCCTGCCTGCACCTCAAGCACCCTCAAACGCCATACGCCACGAAACCCTGGACTTCTCGCTTCTTCAACACCCACAACCCAAAGTTCATCCCAATCCATTGCTCAGAATGAATTGCCCCCCCCCCCCCCCCGGGCCCGGGCCCCTCCTTCATGAGCTTCGCACGAGCCAGGAGTTCCTTGTGCTCACTGTGCACCACGTCCCGGATCTTCGGCTTGCCTGGGAACCCCTTGTCCACAGGGGTTTCGGGCTTCGACCTTTAACACTTGTACACATTGTACACACTCTCGCGCGGCAGGCAAAGCGTTTCGACTCTCACACTGGCAGAAGCAAGGCTTCTGGTACGATGTCCGAGCTGTGAGGCCACCTCCTCAATTCAGGAAGCAAGGGCCGTACATAGAAACGCGAGATTTCATCCACGTCGGTCACAAACATCGTTGTAACCCCGGCCAGCCAAAAGTGCACATGATGTGCGGACTGCAAGGTCTGACGCCAGCATCCGTGGGCCAGACGAATTTCTCCTGAGCCTATCTTTGCGGCAAAATCAAAGCCGGAGGCTCCAGGCCAAAAGCCCGAAGCAGCTCCTCTGTACTGGGGGCAACATACACTGGCACAGCTCTCACTGACCACACATGCCGAAGAGATCGCAGGTCGGTGTCTTGGTCTCACCTGGCAAGGCTGCATCCATCACCTTGGGTACGTCGGCGACCTCCGCCTTGAATTCCTTGAGCTCTTCCTTGACTTTCTCGGTGACTTCGGCAACGTCCTCCTTGACCTCTTCCTTAGCCACCTCCTCCTTGATTTCCTCCTTCGCAGCCTCCGCAGCCTCCGCCACAGCTTCCACCACGGCGTCCACCTTGCCCTCCTGCTTGTCCTGTGTCACCTCCTCTTTCACCTCCTCTTTCACCTCCTGCTCCTTCACCTCCGCAATGGACTCCTCCACTGCCGGCACAGCCTCCTTGACCTCGGAAGGCTGGACAACAGAGTCCTTTGGCTCCTCAGCCTTCTCCTGCACGGACGGGGAAGCGTCCTGGGAGGGAAGAGGCTCAGCAGCGGGTGCCTCGGTGGAAGTCTTCGAGTCGGCGGGTGCCTCCGTCACTGCAATGGGCGCCTTCTCCGTGGTCGCAGGTGCTGCAACCTTGCTGGTCTGGCAACCCATACTGACAAGGAGGGTACTTGCAAATCGACTGCTTGCCAGGAAATTGCTTGAGCCAAAATTGCCTTGCAGTCGGGAACTGGGGTTGCTGTGACTCTACTTGCGACTTGTGCTGGCAGCTGGCGCATCCTTTGGACTACACAGTGTCCGCTTCTACCCTTAGCCCTCCTTGACCACACAAAGAGAGCCCAAGCTGCTTGGAGCTAGGAGGACGCCCTCCTCGTCCACCTCCTCCTGGTGTCGGAGGGTAGGTGAGAGTGCTTCTTCGATAGGGCCAGGGAAGTGTTTGAGAGCCCTGATACAAAATCGAATTCAGGCCTGCAGAAAACATGCAAAAGCAACAGCAAAAGCAGCAAAAGCAGCAAAAGCAAAAGCAAATGTCCTCAAGACAGGGGAAGGGGTGGGGGTCCTGGTAGCTGGGACCCGGTTCCAAGCCAGACTCCGCAGGCACAGCGACGTAAGGAGAGAACACCTCGAGAGCTCTGGGTGTAGGGTCCTCCTACACATTTGTTGGAGTTTTGTTTTTGCCACTCGCCTAGCTGACACTCAGGCCACATTGCAGGGAACAGTCCGTTCAAGTCCATATGAAGGAGGGAGGAACGGTACCTCTAAAGAGAAACTCAGAAAAACAATCTAGCGGTAATGGGTTTAGTTGTGGGTTCGGTTTCCTGCTACAGATTCTGGGTTTGGTGGCTAAGGCTTTCGTTTTGGGCTTTGGCTTTGGACTCACGACTTGGATGCTGCGCGAGCAACACAGAGTTCGCAACCGAAATGCTAGGACCACGAAGGCTTTGGGCAGAACGTGTGATGTGTGAGGCTTCCAGATTTAGGAACCTGAGCTGCAACTTTAGATGGGCGTGGCCCGCTGATTCTGAGAACATGTCGTCCCAGCCTGAAGCCTGGGAACACTGTGGGGTTCATTGGGCCGTCCACCAAGCCCGGATCGCACCACCCTTTTACGGCAAGGTTTAGGGCAATGCCGAAGCCATTAGCTGTCAAGATCATACAATAGAGGGCCAGCAACCCAAATCTGCGGAGACTCTTTGCGCTCAAAGTGGCATAGGACACTTTGTACTTGCGCTTGCTGGTTCCGACGGTCTCGGAGCGGTCGATCAAGGCGGGCCGCCACTCTTCCGATGACATGTCCTGGGGACATCTAACCATAATAATGACAAGCAGTGGTAGTGATAAAGGAATGCTGAAAGTTACGATGGCAGCCGGAACGATGAACGACAACAATCATGAGAATGATGCCGGCAACGGTAATGGCAAGCATGACTAACAGGATTTGGAGTCCGGCAAACATGTTTCAATCGCTACTGCACTTCTAAGTTACTAAAAGGAAGATCATAATCTTACTATCTTCGTGAGCTTACATAATTTATGTCGTGCGCTCACGCATGTAATTGTAGTAAAATGAGATCGCTAGTTAAAATACGGTAACGTGTGAACAGTATTAGTATTTCTAGTGAGGGCTTACAGTAGTCTTAGTATGAAAATGCAACAAAAAAGAAGGGGTTTGGATAGAAGTGAACGAACAACATGCCTGGATCTTGGATGGCTTCGTTCACGCCTGGTCAATACTGCGTGCCTTCACATGTTTCGCTCGTTAATTACCACACTATTTAATAGTGTTCACCTTTCAGCGGTACATTCATGATCACGACACGTCGATACCACTCATGATCAAACCAATTACGATAACAAAATCCAGATAATGAAATCATAATAAGCCATGTTTTATAGATTATAACGGCGCGTATGATCATGATCCTGATGATAGTCAGACTCCGAACCCTGCAACGTAAAAGAGATTGCACGTGTCATCAATTGCAGACAAGGATCGGAGGGGTGGTGGAACTTGGCATAACCAAAGCACCTTAGCATAGTAAGCATGCAAGGCTAGGCTGAGCATGGCTGTACTGCCTACTGGTTCTGGAAATTTAGCAGCTGTGGCGCTTGTTGGGAGTGTTGGTGTCTGCCAAGATCTCCATGTACTTCTTCTGCTGCTTCTCGAAGAGGCGCATGCGGTTGTTATTCAACCGCGACACATCCGTGCTATCTGCCACCTTCAGGCGCTGCGGCACGTTGCGTCCGAAGCTGTACAGGCTTCCGTAGTGCCCGAAGGTGCAGACGGTGTCCAGCGGCTGCCACGACGACGGATCCTGGATCTCCACCGCGTCAAGCCTCCTGTACTCGTAGCTCATCCAGCCGTCCGTGCCACGCTGCGCCAGCTCTCGTAGCTTCTTCGAAGGCACGAAGACCATGACGCTGTGCCTATAGGACCTCAAGTTGCAATAAAAACATTCTCAACCCTCAGTCCTCGAAACCATCCGAGGATTCATGCAAGACTTTTAAGCCCTTGGCACAATCCCCAGCCAAAATCTGAAGAAGGAGCTAGGGCGTCGAGTCTGAAAAACAGTCCCTCATAAGATGCAGGGTAGGGACATGTCCCGAGCAGCAGCTTCCAACTGCATCACATGCTTGCGCCTCTTCTTGAAGGCCTCCATGTCATGGACACAAAGAGGGGAAAGAGGGGAGCCGAGATGAGCCGAGGGCTGAAAGTTTCAGGGTCCAGGGGTCGAAGGGAGACATTTCTACTGGGAGCTACGGTGGATGATCGCACCTTCGTTCATTTCTTAAACTGGATGCATGCCTTTGGTTAATAAAACCCGAGGGGAAGATGCGATCATGTAGTCGTTGGTGAGCATGTGCTTTAGCCATTTCTCGATTACGAGCCTCCTTCTTATCCGCGTTCGGGTCCTTCGCCTTCTCATCGTCCAACTGCTTCAGCAGTTCCCGTGCCAGCTCCTGGCAGCCGAGATCCCCACGGTAACTGTCAGGGGTTTCTTGAGGGTCGGGGCCGATGGCCGGCAGCAGCAGCAGCAGGAGCAGCAGCAGGAGGAGGCATCTCTTACTCTTTGGGCGACGCGGGATCTCATTGCAGTCGCAAACCCTGACAAAACAAAGCCCTATCACTAGGGTTGCTTCTCCCCGGGTGGATTTTTTTTTTGGGTCTTTTTTTTTTTTTTTTTTGGGCCTTTTTTTTTTGTCGATTTCCTTGGTTTTCTCTAGGAAAAACCCTACTTTCCTTACATTTTGGACGGATTTTCTGTCATTTCCCTGAGGTTTTCGTTGGTTTTTCATAGGGAAAAACCTATTTTTTTACATTTTGGACGGATTTCCTGTAATTTCCCCTTAGGTTGAAGCACGCTCTGCACGGCTTAAAAAAAGCGGGGGGGTTGGGGGGGGCGCAGCCCCCCCATTTGCAAACACAATGCACACACGATGTTTTTCAACTAGTTTCTTGGGCTTTGAAGCACGCTTGGTACAGCTTAAAAGAAGCGGGGGGGTTGGGGGGGGCGCAGCCCCCCCCATTTGCAATGCTCACACGATGTTTTTCAACTAGTTTCTTGGGTTGGGAAGCACGCTTGGTACGGCTTAAAAGAAGCAGGGGGGGTTGGGGGGGGGCGCAGCCACCCCCCATTTGCAAACACCCTGCTCACATGATGGGTGTCAACAAGTTTCTTGGGCTTTGAAGCGCGCTCTGCACGGCTTAAAAAACAAAAAAAAGCGGGGGGGTTGGGGGGGGCGCAGCCCCCCCCATTTGCAAACACAATGCTCACACGATGTTTTCAACTAGTTTCTTGGGCTTTGAAGCACGCTTGGTACGGCTTAAAAGAAGCGGGGGGGGGGTTGGGGGGGGGCGCAGCCCCCCCCCCATTTGCAAACACCATGCTCACATGACGGGTGTCAACAAGTTTCTTGGGCTTTGAAGCACGCTCTGCACGGCTTGAAAAAAACGAGGTTTTCGTTCGTTTTTCCTAAGGAAACCCTCTTCTGATTACATTTTGGACGGATTTCGTCAAACGTCAAAGCGTACGTTGCTTTTCCTTAGTTTGTCCTAGGGAAAACCCTATTTGGTTCGTTTTCTTGGTTTCTATCATTCCCTCTATATTTTCATCGGATTCATACTTTTTTTTCAACTAGTTTCTCGGGCTTTGAAGCACGCTTGGTACGGCTTAACAGAAGCGGGGGGGCGGTTGGGGGGGCGCAGCCCCCCCCCCCATTTGCAAACACCCTGCTCACATGATGGGTGTCAACAAATTTCTTGGGCTTTGAAGCACGCTCTGCACGGCTTAAAAAAAGCGGGGGGGTTGGGGGGGGCGCAGCCCCCCCCCATTTGCAAACACAATGCACACACGATGTTTTTCAACTAGTTTCTTGGGCTTTGAAGCACGCTTGGTACAGCTTAAAAGAAGCGGGGGGGTTGGGGGGGGCGCAGCCCCCCCCATTTGCAATGCTCACACGATGTTTTTCAACTAGTTTCTTGGGTTGGGAAGCACGCTTGGTACGGCTTAAAAGAAGCGGGGGGGGTTGGGGGGGGTCGCAGCCCCCCCCCATTTGCAAACACCCTGCTCACATGATGGGTGTCAACAAGTTTCTTGGGCTTTGAAGCGCGCTCTGCACGGCTTAAAAAAAAAGCGGGGGGGTTGGGGGGGGCGCAGCCCCCCCCATTTGCAAACACAATGCTCACACGATGTTTTTCAACTAGTTTCTTGGGCTTTGAAGCACGCTTGGTACGGCTTAAAAGAAGCGGGGGGGGTTGGGGGGGGCGCAGCCCCCCCCCATTTGCAAACACCATGCTCACATGATGGGTGTCAACAAGTTTCTTGGGCTTTGAAGCACGCTCTGCACAGCTTAAAAAAAGCGGGGGGCGCCAGCCCCCCCCCCAATTTGCAAACACAATGCTCACACGATGTTTTTCCACTAGTTTCTTGGGCTTTGAAGCACGCTTGGTACGGCTTAAAAGAAGCGGGGGGTTGGGGGGGGTGCAGCCCCCCCCACCATTTGCAAACACCCTGCTCACATGATGGGTGTCAACAAGTTTCTTGGGCTTTGAAGCACGCACGCTCTGCACGGCTTAAAAAAAAAACAAAAAAAGCGGGGGGGTTGGGGGGGGCGCAGCCCCCCCCATTTGCAAACACAATGCTCACACGATGTTTTTCAACTAGTTTCTTGGGCTTCGAAGCACGCTTCCTTTCTTCCTTCCTTGCTTCCTTCCTTTCTTCCTTCCTTTCTTCCTTCCTTGTTTCCTTCCTTTCTTCCTTCCCTCCTTTCTTCCTTCCTTCCTTCCTTCCTTGTTTTCTTCCTTTCTTTCATCCTTCCTTCCTTCCTTTCTTTCCTTCTTTCCTTCTAAAACGTACCAGAAATAACGCTTTCCTATGAAACCACAGAGAAATTACTGTTTTTCGTACCAAAAACCACGAAAATGCATCAAATCCTTTAAAAATATGGAGGGAATGGTGGTTTTCTTAGGAAAAACCAAGAAAATCGACCAAAAAAAAAAAAAAAAAAAAAAAGACCCAAAAAAATAGGCCCTCCCTTCTCCCCCCAGCTCGTGCCTCACCGATGGTATGAGAGGCGAACCCTCAAGTCCCTTGTCAAGGAAGCTCATGGCCCACGTCCCGGCCTTACAAGCCTGCGACAGCTTGTCTTTGAACTGGTTCATGTTGTCCCCCAAAAGCATAGGGACATCCTTGGAGCGACCAATTGCAAGTTCACTGCTCTCGGATCCTAGAGCCTCTACCAATTACCACATGCACTCCATTATCTTCCGGTGTCTGCTCGGGTTCAGGCTTCCAGCTGGCTAGGCTACATGCAGCATGTTGGACAACTTCGGAGATGCACACACGTATGCGGACAGACGCACAGACAGAGAGAGAGAGAGAGACGCCCGATCACTAACAACAGCACATCGCTCGACATGAACTCATATTGCTCACCTAAGAGATGAGGCGAGTTGCGCTGCGGTATCCGATCTTTTTCTCCTTTTTCTGTAGCTCATCATCCCCGAAATGGATGTGAAGCTCTTCTTTTGTGCCCAGCACCTCAGGAACTTGCACCCGCCCCCCCCACCCCCGGCCCCCTCTCAGATTCTGTTACTTACATCGTCGCCTGAATATCAATTCTCCTGAGGGGTGGCATTTTGGGTCTTTTAAGCAGTCGTCTTGAGCTTGCAGTGAGAGGTACCGCGGTGTAGTAGTCGTCCTGATGCCGCTTCGCCTGGCTGACAAGGCTGGGCAGCTTTCTGTACCCTGAACCCATCCCTTCCCCAGCATCCTAAAATCCCGGGAACTTTGGTGAAATCACCCTAACCAACGGTCCTTGCCGAGCTTCGCAAGCCCTGAACCAGCTCTGACGCTCTTACTGCTCACTAGTGTCCCGATCTAACTGAACTTCCTTGCGCAGCGGCCTGACCAGAGGTGATGTCCAGGTGGAAGGCTTGCTTCGTGCGCCTCTCGAAGGCACCCGTCCTTTCGGGCAGCGTGGGAATGATGGTCACTCAACGTGATTTGAAAGATCCAAAGAGGTTAATACCATTTTGGATAATTCTGAATATTCTTAACACTTTCTTGATATTGTTAATGGTAAGGATACTAGGCATGTTTTGCACATTCTGACTCATATTAGCCTGAGTTCGCTCACAACTAGCGCAAGCAGGCAAGGCTTCTTGGATCTGCGGATCTTCGAACTGTCCCACTGTTGGAGGGCCAAGAAAGGTCAGAGAGGTGAAACCAAGGTGATTGGTAGCCGCGACACTCACAAGATTTCGCAAGCAGTTCCAGGCGCAGCCAAGTCTACTTAGTAGGATGGCTGTGGCAACGGTTGGCTGCCATGGTTGTACTCCTTGTATTTCGGCTCCCTTGCGGACATAGGCTGTCGCCCACTTCCTTTGCGGTGACCTGACTTGCCTCCGGCAGGCCGAGGTGTCGGAGAAGACTGGTTCGTCGAGGCCGCCTTTGCAGTGCTGGCCGTGTTCGCACGGGTGGAGGTTCCCTCCTCAAGGTCTCCAAAGGTGTGGAAGCCCTGTGTGGTCCAGATAGACGGCAGTTGCTGAACGCTCTCTGGAGGCGGTTTGGCTCCGTTGTGCTGGATCTTCGTCCGCTGCACATCCGCACGCTCGACTCGGCCATCCATCTTGGACGACTCCGACATGGACTGCGTAGCTGGCCCTTGCTTGCTGTAGCTGGTATCCATGCGAGATGCCGAATCTTCAACGGGCAGTGGTTGGCTGCTCATCATGGTCTTGGATGTTTGCTGCGCCTCCTCGATCTCCAAGACCAGCTCCACAGACTCGTCAACTGGATCAACGACGTTCTCAAAGCGGGCAAAGTTCACGCGCCCCAAGAGCTCCGGCTGGTCGGCCGGCTCCTGCCGTGCCTCCTTCCGGAGCCGGCCGGCCCAAAGCCAGCAGCGCATCGTGACGTTCGGTGGGCAGCTCAGGAACACGGAGCAGAAGCCGGGCCGCGCGCCGGCACAACCTTGCGGATAGAAGACCAGCTGCATGCCACTGATGCCGGCTGCTTGGAAAGCCGTGCTCCGCACGGCCTGCTCCTTGGAAAAGGTCTGATACAACAGCGGGCCGTTCTCCACGCGCCACTGCACACGCCGCACGGTGCGTGAGCGCATAACGTCGACCTTCTTGTGCAGCTGGTCCAAGAAGGCCTTGCCCTGCGACTGCATCAATTCCAGCAGCCGGTGGTTCACGTAGCGCTGCACTGCCAGCACTCCATCCACAGGCCCACGCGGTTCGCCCCGCTCGTCCTGCATATCCATTGGATTGGAGCCTCCACTCCCAGTGCCTGTGCTTTCCACCAAGCACTCATGGATCTCAATTCCCAGTCTCAAGGAGCCATCAACCGACGTCTGTTCCACGATGGAGCCCATGCGCTTCAGGCCGCAAGGCGACTTCCCATCGAAGCTGTGTCGGAGGACAACAGACTCCGTTCCTAGAAAGAGGCGAAAGACCAGCTGCAGGCCAGCGCAGGCCCAAAGGTACAGGGAGCATTGGTTTCCAGACGAATCCTCCCTTTCGTCCCTTTCGTCCCTTTCCTCCGCAGAGCGGCGAGTGTGCACCCGAAGCTCCAGCTGCATACCGCGAGTCCCGGCTGCCTCGAAGGGAGGTGAGAAAAAGCTTACTTGCGCATCCCCCACCAGTGACGGGTCATCCACTGGCTCGCGGTCCTGAACCTTCTCCAGCTGCTTTAGCGTGTCTTCCTCCAGCCGCCACTCCACCTGTCTTGTCGGCAGCCCAGCCACGCCGGCACAGAAAGCATTGAGCCGTGCAGATTCACCTTGCAACAGCTCGATGTTGGCCCGGTTCTCTGCCAGTACCGCCGCGGTCCGGTCTTCGGCCTCGCGGCGGAATTGGTGCAACTGCTCTTGGCCTGCTTTCGTACCCTGCCTCATCTCATGGCAGTTGCCCTTCAACTCAACGTCTAGCTTCATCAGCTCACCATGTATCGCCTCCTTCTCCTGCTCACGGATCTTCTTTTCGAGCGACACTTGCTCCTCGGTCAGCTGCTTCGAGGAAGCTTCTGCCTGGGCAATTTTCTTCTCCAGTGACTGCTCCAAGGCCTGGTGCTTCTGCGTGTTCTCTCGGAGGATGGCGTCACACTGTGCCTCGAGGGCTTGCCGAGTTTCCTTCATGTTCTGCTCCAAGGCTGCGAAGCTCTGCTTCATTTCCGCTGTCAGCTGCGACTGAAGTTCTTGCAAGCCTTTGCTCATCTCCCCACGCACAGCAGACGTGGACTCGTCCAGATCTTTCTTGGCCTTCGTGGACGCTTCTCCTGCATCCCTTCGCGCCGCTTCCAGCGCGTGCTTCTCCAGGTCCTCCCGGGCCTTCTTCAGGTCCTCCATATGCTCCTGCTGCGCCTTGGTCTGCATCTCATGCAAGGACTTGTAGTTTTCATTGGCAAGGTCTTGCACGCTGTTCACACGTTCGTCGAGCTGCTCGCCAGTTGTCTTCAAGTCTTGCACCTTCACCTCAGCCATGGAGATCAGCTGCTCAAGCTTCTTGATCTGGCCCTTCACAAACTCGTCCCTCTTCTTGGAGTCAGAGGCCATCTGCTGCATGTCAGCCTTCAGGTCACTGAGGGCGTCCACCGTGGCATAGTCGACGGCCTTCGGCATCACGCTCCGTCGTCTTGACAGAGGGCTCCCCGATGTTCCCTGCTTCCACTCAGGCTGCCATAAGAGGTCCCAGGTAGCCAAGTGTTTGTGGTTTATCGGGTTTTTCTTTACATACGACACCCGCCTGACTTGAAGAATCTTCGGGTTCTCTTGAGGCTCTGGCTCGACGGAAGTTTCAAGGTGACAAATACCCGCAACAACCCCTTCGAGTCGAAGCAGGCTTGCTTGAGCCCGAGGATGGCCAGGGCGAGCGCTGGCGGGTTGATATTTGGGGGGGGTCTGGGCGCCTGGGGGCGTGGGGTGGGGGTTGTGCTAAAGGGTCCTTGTCTGGACCCCCATCGCAGCAATCCGACTTTTTTGCAACTGGATCTCTTTGCAGGAGTCCGTTCTCAACATTGAAACCTATCTTTTGGGAACAGGCATGTTGAACCCCCTCACGCAGGTCCTGAACGTGAACTCCTTCTCCTCGTTCCATTCAGGATTGCGAGTCGCCTTCTTCGTCGCGGTGGTCCAATAGCACTCATGGCGCCGAAGGGCGGTCATGTGCCAGCCCTCCTCATCAAAGCCCGAAGGAATGCTGGCCTCGCATACGGGTCCACTTCATGGTCATGTTGCTCAAACCAGCTCTGAGCTCACATCTGTTCCCCTGATCCCGATCGGCATAATCAGGAGACGCCCGCCTTTGTGAACTGTCTTTGTGTGTTCAGCTGTGCTCATAAGCACGCATGCCCACATGCACGACAAAAACTTCCTTCAATCACAAATGTGAACTCGGTGCTGGGTGTTGGCTCAGTTTTTAACTACAACGACGTCGTTTCTTTCTGACCACCAGGCTTGCCTCTCCCCCTCTCTTCTTCTTCTTCTACCCAGGCCGGGGGGGGGGGGGGGTCCCTCTCTCTCTCTCTCTCTCTCTCCCTCTCTCGTGGCCTTCTACTTCTGGGGGCTCTACGCCTACAAGCAAAGCCACAGGAGCCTTCAAACCCCACCGTCGCATCCCGCCGTCTATAGAAGCTGTGGAAACTCACTGTAGCTCCCAGCCTTATCCGACGCACCGATGGACTCATTCTTGACGTACATGCACACGTACGGGTCGCTGCCCTCCTAGGAGGCTGAAAAAAGCAAGCCAAGGCCCGGAAAGCACCAGGAACCCCACAAATCCCAGGAATACAGTGCACGTGGGAACATAGGATACCCGAGCCGTCCTCTCTGGGGCCCCCACCCTTCTGTAGCTCCTGTCTGCCCCACGGAGACCCTCGGCCTTGAGGATCTTGAGCTTGAGCTTGCCTACCAAGGGCTTGCAGGGCTTGAAGCGTCTAGCTCCTTTAGGGGGCGGGGCTTCGTTTTCTTCTCATGGCTCGCGTTCTACCCGCCCGGCCACGCACTGGAAACTGTAGGAAGAAGAAGTTCACTGCGTTGAAACTACATCGAGCCTAAGTTGAGGCAATGAGAGGGCCGGCTATCTCTGCACGCCTACCCGATCAAATCCGATAGACACCCCACTTTCCTGTAAGTTTCAACCGTTTTCAGGGTTTAGCAGCTTTGGGGTCAAGGTTCACAGGGTAGGGAGCCTTGCACTGTAGGTTGTGTGTTTCGGAGCCTGTGTGCAGCATCTCCTCGCGCTTGACGCGCTCCTCCATGCTTGCCCCCTCCTTGGCCACGCACGGAGGTCTCGAAAAGGACGGATGTGGGCGTTAAACGCCAAACCCTAAGCCTAAGCCCCAAACCCGTGAAGGCTCGCAGCTCCCCAACATACGATGGGCCTCACTGTATCCCTCCTGCAGCCCCACCCCAAACCCGCAAGAAACCACCAGCTGCCGGCCAGCCACTGGAAGCGGGTCTACCTTCACAGATGGGAAGATCCAAGAGGCCTCGACGATCAAGTGGCCTGTCAGACAGAAGGCTTTGAAGCCGGAGCCCCAGCGCCGACTCACATCCATTCGAAGTTGAGGTGCGCAACAATAAGAAGTAAAGGTCTGCAGATCATGCCATCAGGCGCCAAGCACACTACCGGAGCATCAAATGCTGGTAGCATCGGCATCATGACGAGGGTGCAGAAGCCAAAAGAACCCAAAGACCAAAAGCCAAAACCCTTCAGCATTCAGTATGCTCCAAAAACGCGAAAACCCCATGGATCGAAGTATGACTCCCCTTTCAAACCAAGCCCATACTAAGGGGAGTGGGAGCCCAAATCCCCTTTTTTCGTCGTGTGGTGGCTTAGGGGAGTCGAGGTGTCTGGGGCCTGTTGGGTCCCCCGAAACCCAGGAAGCCCACCGCTTCACACCTTCGCAGTTCATCTTGGCCAACTTCTTGTTGTGCTTTCCTCAGGGCTACGGCTCTGACAAACTTCAGCAGGCTTTGAAGTTTGGGGCATGGGGGGTCACTCGGAGAAGGCTTCGGGAGCTTCCTACCCATAAACCCCTGCCTCGGGGCGAGGAACTGAAAGCCTGGAGGCCTGTAAGAATGCCTTCACCCTAACCTCTTTGAGGTTTTTTCGACCGGAACTGAGCTCCGAACTCTAAACAACTCGTGACCCGAAACTGCCAGAACCCGAATCGCCACCGAAAGAGCTTAAATCACGTGAATCATGGTTGAGGGGCTGCCTTTCAACTCCCTCACAACCCTCAGAACCCCTCTTTCATAAGAACCCTTCACCCCAAACCCTCAAAAACGAGCCAGGGAGGCGAGAGAAGCCCGGCTCGGCATTCTGCACAGGAAGGATGTAGCGCTTGGTCCCCTCGGTCCTGTTGCTGTTGCGAGGTCTTCTTGGGCTCATGGCTCGGGTGCTTTATGGTTTTGGGGTTTATGGCAACTAGGAACCTGAAAACATCCTGGGCCGCAATGGCCCTAAGAAACCAAAAATCTTGTCCATAGCCCCCTAGGGTCAGTGATCCCAGCGGTGGCAGCCAGCATTCGCCGAGGAAGTCGTCTTGCTTGCCGAGGTCCGAGTCCCAGATCTGGTTGGGGCTTTGGGATGTTTTGGGTTTACAGGGTGTTGGCATCTTGGGGATTCAAAGTGTCTAGGGGCCTCAGTCCGACTCAGTACTCAGTCCACTAGCGGCCCACGGCCGGCCTCGAGCAGCACCGCTTGCCTCACATTCAGCGTGTCCATGAGATCTGCATCGGCTGCCTCCTGCATGACCGCGAAAGGGTGCATTCACGTCAGGCATAGGTCATGAGCCCTCTTGGAGAACAATGTTCTAGCAGAGCTCGCCGACACTTTCAAATGGGGGGCTTGCCACCGAAACCTAGTAGTACTCCTGTCCAGAAACCTGGAATGCCAGACACTCACAAACTGCGAGTGGCCACCCGTCCTTCGTTGGGTCAGCGATGGTAACGTCCAGTCTGATGGGAACCCCTTCTGGCACGTTCGTGGTGCCGTTGTCCGTGGTCGACAGCTGCCTCAAAGTCTCGCTCAGGAGCGGGCTGGACATCAGGCAGTTCACAAATTCCTGCAGGAGAGAAGATATTCAACAGCCAAAAACATAGACGGCCGCCTTCACATGCCCTGCATTGATCTAACATACTTTCACCCAGCTCGGCCAGTACGGATATAGCGCCCTTGACATCGAGAGCGGCAAAAAGCAAGCCAGGAATCTACACCCCACTACATGGATCACCCATGAACCCTTGCATTGCCCAGCCCTGCCCCCCCGCCCCGCACAAAATACTGAACGCTACACCCAAATACCAGCTTGGGTCCTGCTTCGTGAGGTACAGCTGCACCTGCGAGGCTTCTTCCTCCGTCGCCGTGGCGTTGGGAAGATTCCTCAGATCGTGCTTGGGGCCATGTTCGAGGCTTCTTGGGCATGTTTCCGAGTTGTTGTTGACACCTGGCTTAGCTGGCGAAGCACTTACGAATTGTTCAGGGAAAGGTTTTGCCCTTTACGTGCTGAGGCTTGGAAGATAGGAGCACTGCCAAATCGCCGAGAACGACAGAAAAAAAAATGTTGCTACGGCAGCGAAGCCATCACACGCACTACCACCTAAACCCCAAGTAACTCTCAATGGGGTTGCCGACGTACTTCGATTGCATTTCTGTGCGCTCCTTTTTTACAGGGTTGGGACCTAAGTTGCACTCGCCGAAGCAAGTGCCCGGTGCGGTGAGGCACCAAGCATCTGAACACACAAAACCGCTGTTTCTACACCTGGACTTACCCGGACTTGTTGAATGCCAGCAACCCCGAGTCAGGGAGTACACACAAAAGAAACCCCAGAGAACTCGGCTAGCGAGCAGGTGCCGCATGCTCATCTCAAAATACGAGTACCTGCTCAGGCCCTGAAGCTGAATCCCCTCAAAACCATCCAAAAACTCAAAGAAACTCCAACTAAAGAGTTCGAGAGCCCAGGCACATGTCGAAACGCACCTCGCCGCCTTTGAGGGCGCCGCTGGCGTCCACCGGGATCCGAGCGTTGTAGCGCTGGCCGTCCCCGGACCGGCAGTAGCGCAGCCTTGTGTTTCGGGCTTAAGGCCGTTTAGGGGTTCCGGTGGCATTCTCTGAAGGCATCTCACATGACATGGCCGAGACACCACAGGGTCTTCACCTTTTCTGGATAGGGGTCAGGGATCTCCAGCATGCTCAGCTGAAGCTCCTTGCCAATGTCGCGGTTGCTCTCAGGAGTGAAGAGGTCGATTCCGAAATTGGTCCTTGCTCTTGGGATTCTTACGGGCTTTTGCTATTGCTAAGGGTCTTCTTGCTGCCATTGTCTTCGCCCCTGCACCCTCTAAAACAACCGCATGCGTCAGAGCCAAGCGTCATCGCTATATGAAGCTCGTGAGCCACAATCATATTCTTCTTAACATCCGTCCAGCTCGTGCCCTTCTCAGCAAACTCCTCCTTGGCCTTTGCAAGGTTCTCGCTCGCCCCAGCACAGTCACCTTCGATGAGGATCGCATCCAAGATACCTGGCACGGCCCTGCACCTGCTGAAGATATCCTCCGCGATTTGCATGGATTGGCGATGCGTGACTGGATGCAGGCTTCGGGCCAAGACCCCCGCCGTGACCAGGCGGCACGCATGGATCGTGATGAGGTTGGGCTTGTTGTTCCCTGACGTAACCACCGCCGCTCTCTCGCAGACGGCCTTGCGGAAGGTCGTGCGTTCCACAGAGTACTGGGCGCCCCACTGGGATGCCCACTTCCACGCCTTCTCCTCCTTGTTCCAGCCATGATCACCGGCCCCGACCTTCTTGAAGAGTCGTCCAGTCGATGGCTCCCGTCGCATGGTGCGATCGAACTGCACGTGCTCGGTCACTGGCGGCGCCATGGCCAGCTGGTGTGAGATCTTCCGCATGGTGCTTCGAGGATCCCAGCGCTTCAGCCGCACTTCGGTCAGGTTGGCCTCTGTGTAGGTGACGACCTCCACCCTGGGGTTCTTGGTTTCTGGTGCATCCAGGTTCAGCTTCACGCTGTGGAGCGTAATTCCCAGCTGGCCCACCTCGGGTTGCTGGGCGCTCGCCGGCATCCACTTCAGGTCCAGCAGCATGTCCCCAACCATCGGACGCACACCGTGCTCAGTCAGCAAAGATGGATCCTTAGCATTCGATCAGTGAGCTCTTCTCACCAGCTCTCCCCGCCTTCTCAGTGAAACAGGCCTTTGGCGGCCTTTGGTAAACTCAGAACTCTGAACCAGCCCTCCCTGGCTCACAAGCCAGCAGCCAAGGCACCTGCTCTCGTGAGAACCCTGGCGGAAGCTGCTTCTCCGGCCCCCAGATCGTGAAGGTCTTGGGGTCCGAACCCACCTGAGTTTAGGGCGGTGGGACTGGGGATCGGGGCTTTTACGCCACGGCCACCAAACATGAATGAAGCATGCTCTCCATCTGAAAAGCTTTACGTAGCAGAAAGCTTTAGCAGACAGGCAGAAGACGCCAAAGAGCACGTCAACTCCAGCCCAGGCACCAGGCCACCAACCAGAGAGGTCGTGACGTACGGGACAAGGCTGGGCACGAACACCTGCAGGCTTCTCAGGCGTTTTAAGCCCCTTTCTGCACTGCTTTTCGGTCTCTAGTGCTCCCGAATGGCCAACTCCCCACGACATGGAGAGCAGCGACGGACGGGGACATGGGACCCCCACGAACCCTCACCCGAGATGCATGCCACACAACGAAACCCCCCTCTGGAAGCAGAGGCCTCTCCAATCATCTTCTCGTCCTGGCGACTCGCGCCCAAGGCATAGACCCAAACCTCGGCAGTCTTGGATTCGAGGCTATCCTTAAGGGTTTGGAGGCTCAGGATGATTCAGGGGTCGAGGTTTTTCAAGGCGTACTTTTGGGGATTCGATGGGATTCGGGATATGTCTCCTTGACTGAAAACCATGAGCTGCACAAGGCGCCTTCAGATGCAAAGCCATGGTCTTGACCTCCTCGTCGCTTGGAGCCCTGAGGAACCTGCACAGCCAATGGCGTCCGTCTTAGGACCTCTAAGAACCCCAAACTCCCAGACCACCCCACACCCTAACCGCCCTAATTAAACCTACATAACGCAGCAGAGTCCCTCTGCTCTTAATGTGGCGCCGGGCCGCTGGACGTCCTCCTGGTTCTTGCCCTCATTGCGCTCGATGATGATGGCCGTGGCCCGGGAGATAGGCTTGATATGCTGTACCTGCAAGAGCTTCAATGCTGGTAACACTTCGGGATACGGGTTTCGACGCTCACTCTCGCACGAGGCAGGCAAGGTTCATTGGTTCAAGAAAAGATCACACGATCGTGTGGAGGGACACCAACAGACGGTTTGGGATTTAGTGCTGCCTATAGGGTATTCGGAAGCTTTTGGCTTTTGGCGGTTGACTGCGTTGTGCACACAATCGGCCCTTTCCCGGCCCGATCAGCGGAACAGCACCGGCTGGGTTCAGATTGCATCTGTCCCCCATGGCCTGCAGCTCCTGGCCATTGTGGGCATAGAGATGGAAGAGGGCGATGGCCTTGTCCTTGGTGGCCCATCTCTTGCCGCGGAAAGCGCTCTCACTAAACCCTGACCTTAAGAACTGTTATGACACACTCCAGGCCTTCGCACTCCAACGCAGCACGCACGCGCACACACACACACACACACACACACACACACACACACACACACACACACACACACACACCCTCTTTCAAACCTGTAAACACTTCGGGAGTTTTCGACTCACTGGGGTCCTTATTATAAGAGGATCCTACTATTTTGGGGATCTATGTTGGGGGTCCCCTAGTTTCGTAAACCCCCAAAGTTCCGAATCCTGAAAAGAAACACCTTTGGAGGACACTAACTCCTCAGCTCGGTCTCCGACACCGTGCCCTTCGAGCAGCAGATCAGGCCCATGAAAAACTCCAGGATGCTCATCCTCCTCTTCATCCGCTCTGCTGAACACACCGGGCTTCTCCAAGCATGGTTCTACGGGGGAGGGGGCCTCGGAAACCTTTTCTTGTATTGGCGTGCCCTGGTTCCACTCTCACCCTCTGAATGCACCCAAGCGTCTTCTCCAGCGGGTCAAGGTTGAACCTCGGTCCAAGGTTTAAGAACGCTGAGGCCTCTAAGACCAGTAGATTTGGGACTTGGGGCTCTTCAGCGAACCTAGCACCCAACGGAAAGCGTCCCAGATCCCAGACTCAAACTTCTTTGTTGAACTTTGCAAGCCCAAAACTCCCTTATGTTGTACCGGACTAGAGGGACCGAGCCTTAGATCCCTTTTTCCGAAACCCGCCAAACTCCCTCAGGAGCCTTTTAAGACCGTCGAGACCTGAGCCCCCCATGCTTGCCACTCCCCAGACACTGTTGCAGCCTGGGCGCCTCTCCCAGATCTCTGGAGCCCATTTCTGCCAAGCGCTCTGCGCCGGCGTTCCAGGGGCCTGATGCGATTCGGGCTTGGCATCCGGGCTTGCAGCTTTGGTGAACTTAGCGAGTTCGCAGAAAAGTTGGAACTTATGGCCTTCCGGGATTACGCGTCTTATGGCTGCCTGGGGCTTAAAATGTTTGATTGATGGATTGATCGCTCGCACTCGGGCCAGGCAAGGAACACGCTGCCCGCAATGACAGCGACAACATCGTGCCGGCAACAAGTCAAGCACTTCCGAACTCGCACTGACGACATGGAGCTACCTGCACTGCAGTAATTAGATCAGGATGTGGTCTAGCGGAGCGTCGGTAGGCGCGGTACATGAGAACGTCACGGGAAAAGGAACTTCTTCGCGAGCACGAGCTCGTGGTTTAACGTCTGCTGACTTAACACTTTGAGTGCCACCAGCAGCGTCCAGGGTCTCCGAAACACGCTGTACAAATCCTGCATCGACCTGCGGTCCAAAGATGTTCTTCGGACCCAAAATCAGCATGTGAAAAGGGGAACCGACAGAGGAGTCTTTGAGTAGCAGTGAGCCCCGCACTATGGTACCTGTCATGCTGAAGCTGTGAGACCCTCAATACGTGAAAGCACTCACATCACTAGAAGCTGTTACATTAAGTTACATTGGTCGTGCAAGCACAGCAATCACGAGCAGAAACTGCAGCGGAGAAACAGCCGCGGATTCGGCTCGCTCACGCCCATTCTGATTCAGCGCTGGCGATTGAAAGATTAAAAGTTAAGGCTTCGCCATGTATCTCGCCGGACGGTACATGTTCATGACACATCCTGCCCTTTCGTTGATTCATGATTGCCCATGAGGAGCTTGAGCTCGAACATCCATTTTGGGACGAGTCGGAAAGCTCGGAGCTCGTTTGGGCTCTCAGCTCAGCTCAGTTGATCAGCTGCGCCATCTGTTGGGCGTTCAGGTGCTGCCCGAACACGTAATCCTCCTGCTCGCCGTCCCAGTCGAGCTGCCACTGGTTGAAGCCGAAGCGAGGGTTGTCCTGCCGAGCAGACAAGAAGAAGTCCGCGTTTGTAATTGCATCGAAGACCGGGAGCTTGGTCTCGTGGCGCAAGGCGTCGGCGTAGGGCGGAAGCTCCGTACACTCAAGCAGGATGGCACGGATAGAAGGGTTCTTCTTCAGGATCTGCTTGACCATGTCCACAATTCCCGGCTGCACATAGTCCACATCGACCTTCTCACCCTTTGCCACAGCGTCAAAGCCAGGAACATCCTGGCAGCCCTTAATCATGAAGCGGGCATCGTCAACATCGAAGCCGCAATTGCTCAGCAGTGTCTCCTTTTGCGGCTTCAGCGTGTCATCATTTGCGGTGAGGATTAAGACCTTGTCGTACTTGTCGAAAGCAACGGAGATCATGGGACATTGCATCATGGAGCTCATGAAAACAGGGACGCGGGCCACGTCACGTGCCAACGGCTGGAAAGCCATCATGAATCCGCAGTCTCCCGTGATGCCGCTGCAGCCTCTGTTCTCCAGCCACTTCACAGCTTCGATGAACTCCCTCTCCACGTCTGGCGAAAGCTTGCCGGCCTGCGCCATCTCGAAAGTAAAGCCCGGGACCACTCGGAAGAGCACGTCGTAGTCATAGCTGCCGGAATGATCAATGTCGCCTGCTGCCGGTGGGTAGTTGTAGTCCAAGCGCAGAACGCCCAGCATAGGTGCCTGTTGCTTGCGCACCTTTTTCATGACCTTGTCAAGCTTCTTCTTCTTTTGTAGCGCCTGTTCCTTCTTCTCTGCCTTCACCTTGTGCTTACTCACCAACAGCTGCAATTCGTCCTTGGTAAGGTTGATGCCTAGCTCATACTCCTCATGCGTACCATCCCACGCCTCCTGCCACTCGTTGTGGCCAAACCTTGGGTTGTCTTGGTGGGCGGAGATGTAGAAGTCGGCAGCCGTGACGGCATCCCAAACTGGCAAGCCGGTATGGTAGCGAAGGGCATCTGCGTAGGCTGGCAGTTCCGTGCATTCCAGCAGGATTCCAGCAATTCGTGGGAATTGTTTCCTTGCGTCCTGCACCAGCTGAACAATTCCCGGCTGTACGACCTCAAGCGGAACTTTACCTCCCAATGCCACGGCCTCGAAGCCCGGCACATTCTGACAGCCCTTGATGATGAAGCGGCCCTCGTCAACGTTGAATCCACAGGTGTTCAGCAGGACGGTCTTCTGCGGCTTTAAGGATTTGTCATTGGCCGTGAGAAGCAAAATCTGATCTGCCGGGTCAAAAGAGGCAGCGATGACAGGGCATTGCACCATGGAGGACATGAAGATGGGCTTTGCCGCAATCTTCCTGGCAATCTTGTGAAAGGCCATCATGAAGCCGCAGTCGCCAGTGATGGCAGCACATCCGCGGGCCTCTAGATGCCTGATCGCATCTGCAAAGCGGCGTTCCACGTCTTCTGGGAAATGGCCCTCCTGACACATCTCGAAAGTCAACCCGGGACAGCAGCGATAGTAGACTTCGTATCCAAAGCTGCCTGGGTGGTCAGAGTCTCCTGGTGCAGGAGGGTAATCGTAATCCAGGCGGACAACACCGAGAGCCGGGTGCTTGGCCTTCTTCTTGGCAGGCTGAGCCACGGCACTGCTTCCAGTGCCGTTGTTCGTCAAACTCTCGAGGAGCTCCTGGTGCGCCTTCATCAACTCCATGTGATGTTTTGTCAGATCGGTATGCTGCTGGAGGAGGTCATTGTGCTTCTGCTGCGTCTCCTTCAAGCTCGACACGATGTCCGAGTAGGCTTGCATGATTTCACCGTGGTTCTTCGTCTCAATGCTCCCCAGCGCGGGGGCCGGGGCTGTGGGCACAGTGGGTGCGGAGTACATCGATGGACCGGAAGGCATGAACGGAGACAGGGCCTGTTGCGGCTGCGTGAAGGTCATTGGCACGCCCCCAATGCTGCTCATGCCACCAGTCATACCCATCTGCTTGCTGCCCTTCAGGCGCGCAAGCTCCATCTCGAGCATGTCCAAGCGGCTGTGCAACGGGATCATGGTCCCTTGAAGCCCTTGAGTGTGGGTCACTCGCACCAAGAAATACTTGAGCAGCAATTGATGGTTTATCGTCTCAACATTGAACCCGAGTCCTTTTCAACATGTGTCATGCATTCCTGTCCGGGTTTTTGCCACCCTCGAAAAATCAACCTTCTGGAATCTTCCCTTTCTAAGTCTAAGTCCAGGGATTCTTTTAGAACTACTTCACATCGTCTGCCAGCTGTTCTGGGCTGAGGGTAACAACCCTGACTGCGCCCGCACCTGGTTCTCCCCGATCCCGAGGAGCTTCTGCACCGTCATCAGCCAGGCGCCCCTGTCCAATAGTGCGGGTTCCACCACTCCTCCTGGCACAAGCTATCGATACGAACAGACAAATATGAATATAAATTTAAATATAAATAAAATATATAACTAGAAGTATAAATATAAATATATATATATATATACCATATATATGTGTATATATATATATATATTTTTTTTTCTCCTTTATTTATTTACTTAGGTATTCCTTTATTTGCTTATTGATTTATGTATTTATTTGTATAAGTAAGTGTGTGTGTATATATATGTTTTTGTATACTTAATTTCTTTTATACATATGCATTCATCACACGAGAAACGCCTGCTGGGTGGTCGACTTACCAGCGCTTAATGCACCAGCGTGCGGCCGGTGGGCTGTTCAGCACCCCCAACTAAAGACATCGAATTTCAAACGAAGCACAGACCGAGCCATACAGAAACCTTTGAAAATCTTTCCCTGAGTCTCCCGCAATCCCACGCTGCCCCGTGTCCTGGCAAGGGCTTGACGGCCACGGGATGGCTGATCGGGGTCTTGGTCGGGCCCACAGTCTGATGCACCACTTGGGAATGCTCCATCCACCTGGGAATGCTCTGAGACTCTGGGGAACTGGTCGTCACACTACGGTAGATGGCATAAAGGGAAGTGTGGTCCCAATCTCTTTTGGCTCTTTTGAGAAAAACGGCCGGACTGCGGCCCAGCGACTTTGAGATCCAAGACCAGACCTGTCCCTGCACCGTCCCATCTGTTTCGGGCACTGTCTTGATTAGCTCCACCGGCATCTGCCTCAGAGCAGCTCCGCCGACATGGACCCAACAAGTGCGACAAAAAAATTGGAACTGGGTCTTTTGGGTCTTTTGGGTCTTTTGGGTCTTTTGGGTCTTTTGGGGGGAGCCCACATCACTAGTGTTCAGTGTGCAACTGTCGCACCAGAGTGCTTCAGGTAGCCTACGTATGCCGTGATACGGTCGTTCTTCAAGGTTAAGGTTTGGAATTTGAAGGGCTGTGTCACCCCTATGCTTCTGAGGCGCCTCAAGATTCCGGAACTGTGTGTGACCATCGGGTTGCTGTTGAAGTGCTGCACAAACTGGTTGAACATTTTCATCACCGATCTTGTCGTGACCCTTTGGTCGACGGCAACGCCATTCCTCATGGCGGAGGTGTTGTTCGCGCCGCTCACATTGGTGTTTGACGCCACTGTCGATGGAGACATGCCTGAGATGTTCACATCCTGGCACAGCTCACGGAGGACGTAGTTCTGGCGCCGGTAGTGAAGCTGGTAGCGGTCCCAGTGCTTTTGTGAGTTCTCGTAGTCCATAAAATGGCCAGATGGTACCCCAAGCTTCGCCATGGAAGCATCCTTGTCCCAGAGCTTGTACTCTGCGGCCGCAACCAGCTCCACGAGGTTGGAAGGGTCGTAGATCGACCTCGGCTCTTCCCTTCATCTGGGGCTATGCAATGCTATGCAATGCTATGCAATGCTATGCAATGCTATGCTATGCAAGAGTACGGCAGCACAACAACCACACCCCTAGCAGCAGCCGAGCGACTCGTAGAAGGTTTGCAAGCAGCTCTGCACTTCCGAGGCGCTCTGGCACTTCATGAGCGAGTCCTTGCAAGCCGTCAAACCTCGGGGCCCCATCACATTCAGCTCGAAATCAGGGGCTCCAGCGTTCCCAGGACCCAATCTCTCTCTCTCTCTCCCTCTCTCTCTCTCTCTCTCTCTCTCTCTCTCTCTCACTCTCTCTCACTCTCTCACCTGCAAAAGGCCAGGGCATGGGACATCCAGAATGCTCAAACCTGAAGCCTCGACCCTTTCGCTTCTGAGCCCCTACTGCAACGGAAACCCTGAGAAGAGAACCCTGAGGCCCTGAGGCCTGCATAGGCCAGGTCGATGAGCCCGTGACGTGCGGGCTTATTGGCCGGGAGGTCGCCTTGGCCCATTCTTTATATATGTAGATACATTATACTTATATATATATACATATAAATATACGTGTGTATTGTTTGAGGCCGTTATGGTTTTTCGCTACCCTAGCTGCCTGGGTCCCACTGCAGGGCACGTGTCCATGCGAAGAAATGTTTGTGAGCTTTTTTTGGCCACCCGCCAAGCACATTCGTACACTCCAGGGACAATTGACGACTAGACGAAGCTGAAACCTGGTGAGATCTGGTGAGGGTTTCGGGGTTGAGGGTTTAGGGGTGATCCCAAGGACCGGGATGATTTGAGGGCTTCAAGCCACCCGCGCTCAAATCAGCCCAGCGGCTGCGGCAGCTTTCGCCCAGCAGCATGTCCCACATCCGGAAGAGGCTGGTGACAGGCAACGTGAAGGCGAAGAGCCTAAGTCGCCCCCCCTGACGCCGCTGGGGCTCTCGGGCTTTGAACCCCCCTCATGTACTCCCAGCCCAAAACCCTCAACTTGTCCATCAACTTCCCCACATCGAGGCTCCGCATGAAGGAGCCGTAGAAGACCATGGAGGGATGGAATCCCAGGGCACTGAGGTGTACCCAAAGCTCTGGTTCCAGTCGGGACAAGATGAAGTTCCTTGGGTCTGGTGCATCATGACACCAGCCCGCCAAGGAAATCGGCAAAAGTCGGGAGACATGACTACGATTATGACTATGAAGAAGTTGAGGGCTCGGGCAACTGCGTGCCCCCCGCGTTTCATAGTTCGGCGGGGCTTCAGTCGCAGCAAGTCATCCATGGCACCGCGCCGCTCCGCGATGGGCTGCTCCTTCCCCGCTCCGAGCTTTGAAGTTTGAGGATTATTCCAGGCGCTCGCATAGAGGCTATGCGCGGTGGGTTCTTGGACTTGGGGAGGCAGGGTTGTAGGGGTTGAGCGCTGTGTCATGTAGTCTCACGGCCTCGATGCCGGGCTCGTTGCTGACCACAGTGCTGTGCGCGGGGCTTCCAGGCTGGCTGGAGCTGGCGGTGTGCGTGGGTCGCGGCACTGCGCCTCGGTGAGCAGCGGCCTAGAAAGGACGTGTGTGCATCGATGCCTGCAGCCCAGAAATCATCCTTGCAGCCTTTTTCAGGCACCACCCCAAACTGGGGCCAAGGCGGCGCTTGGGCACCCCGTAGTAGTCCCTGAACGGCTGCCGACCCGCGCCCGACGTAATGGCAAAGAGGATCCAGAATGCCTGCACCTCATCATCCACCTCAGACTTCGTCCTTGGCGTCTCCCTGAGCTTCCGCTGCTTCTCCACTTCCTGACCAGTAGGTCACTTTGGGGGGGGGGGGGAGGTTTTTAACCCAACTGGACCTCCCCTGGGAGAGCAAACTTCAAACAGGAACGGGTGGACTCAGATAAAGAAGAAAAGAAGAAGGGTGTGGAGTCCTCGTCTTCCGGGTCGGCCGACTCGGGCCTCGGAGGCTCATAGTCCCAGAAATCCCACGGGTCGCCCTCCTCCTCGCTCTTGCTGGTGGGTGTCTGGGCAACGAGCAGGAAGAACGCCAGAATCAACAGGGACTCGCCTCAGGGTTCACTTTGCGATTCCTGCGCGATGGTCGTGTCTGCAGAGGCCTACGCGGTTCTGACATATTCCGGCTTTTGACCGGAATGATAGTTCACTGCCGGCCGCCAGCACCCCTAAACCCCGAAAACATCCCAGAAACCAAGTCACAGTATGCCACGCCACCGCCCTGAGCCTGCCGAATTTCCCAGCAGTTGGGCACATCCGAGGCCTGGTCTCCCAAACTGTCCTCGGGAGTTGTCATGTTATGCGGCTCTTCCACTTCTATGAGGGTTTCTTGCCGACCTTCACCTCAGTGGCCGCCGCAGCCGACTTTCACCCAGCTCCAGACGCATACACGTGAGAGAAGCCTTCAGAACTCCAGCCCTCAAAGCGACAAGCTCCACAGAACCCCGTCGGCCAACCAACACCGATAGCTCTCCTCACTCCCCTTCGTCAAACAACTTCCAGGTTATTACCAGTTCTTCTGGGGACTTTGGACATGCTGCGACCAACCGGCAGCACTGTGGCTGCTAGGCGATCCGAAGAAGTTGTTTCGTGAGATCATCGAGCTCTGAAGGCTGAGCCTCTACCCGCCCGACACCCAACGTGTGTGCATTTGGGATGAAAAAGGTGAATAACCATACCTGCGCGCGAGCCCCATCAATGCACTTGGAGAAGGCCCTCCGAAGATTTTGGATGCGCCGCCCAAAGGAAGAACTAAAACTGGCAGATGGTGATGCTTCGGTGCATCAACGCACTCACCGCACAGCTGACTTCGGGAGCCGTTACGCCGCCTGCGCACCGCTACCCTCGCAATGTTCCTTCGCATGCAAGCGTGCCTCACAGGGACGGCGAAGAACCATGGCAACTACTATGAGTACTACAGGCAGATACTGCGCCCCCCCAAGCGCGGACCGCTCTGTTTAAAACATACAGTCACGAGAAGAAAGCAGTCGGCAAGGGGGTTCTGACTGGCGCGCATTCTCAACCCAAAGCCCAGGCCCCCCACCCCAAAAAACAAACCCTGAAGGCCCCTAAACCCCATCCCCCGCCCCCCCAATGCCCCAAAGAATGAGGACTGTCCCATCCCTAAACAGCCTCTTTAATCTTTAACCCTGAAAGCCCCCCTCCTTGGAGAAGGCGATGAGCGCCACGCAGATGTCCTCGGCCCTCTTGAGGCGCCGGAAGTGGCGGGCCATGGTGGCGTGGTGCGTCGGCCTCAAAGCACGGAGCTTCGGATGCGAACACTGGGGCAAGGCGAGGCAAGCCAGGCGAGGCGCATGTTTGGGGGGGGCTTAAGGAGAGGTAGCCCTGCAACGCTGGCAGACTGGAGTCCCTCAACAACAAAAGTCACACCCCGGAAGACCCGAGCGCCGCAATCCAAAGAGGCAATGCCTCCAGCCCATAACACCAAAGCGAAGAAAGAAAACGCGAATCTCACTGTGACCAGACGCTTTTCCCAGGATGAAGCTGTGACGAGGTCCTCTGCATTCAGGCATTCCAAGGTTCACCCCGGCAAGTCCCCCCCCCCCCCCCCCCCCCCCCGCCCCCCCCCCCCCCCCCCAATAGCGAAAAAAACAGCTCCTCATGCAGCTGTCCCATGGCATCGCTTCGGTAGGGCCGGCCGATCTCCAGCAGCCTGGAATCCACGGTTGTTCAGGGTTCCAGGATTCCGGCTCTTTTAGGGCTTGCTCACTCACCTACGCATACGGGTCACTGGTCTCTGACTGCGAGGCGTGCTTTGAGGCACAGCTGGCGGCAGAAGTTGCGCGGGGTGGAGTTTAGGATGCGCGGGCGGGAGCTAAGGCTTTGGACCCAACATCAAACATCTCGAACAGCAACCCTTCGTTCACCCGGCGCCTTCGGTAGATGGCCCTTTGGTAGATGGCATTCCTGAATTCCAGAGGTTTCATTCTTGTCAGTTTCATTCTGGGTGGAGTACAGTGTTTTCATGTGTTTTCTCCAGTTGTCCAGTTAGGATCAGTTAAAAAAACAATTCTCCCGTCTGAGCTTACCTCCTGAAAGACGGCTAATGCTGGATTTAGTTTCTGGTCGGCAGCCGTCCCTTTGTGCTGCTGGATGTACGCCCGCTCATCATTTTCCAGGAGGTCAAGAAGCTTGCGCCTCACTGGATCGTCCTTGGCTGCGCAAGTCGCATGAGCCACAGAAGGCCACTCGAGCCACACTAAACTCACTAAACTTAACTATTCTTAACTCAGTTACGCAATGCGCAATGCCCTAAGCAGACCAACTTGTCAGGAACTCCCGAGCTTCTGGTGACGTTTTGGGAGCAAAGGAGTCCAGAAACTCCGTTTGCAGGACGTCCGCGCTGGTAATCTCCGACCACACATGGTTCCGGATGCCGGCGGGCACCCCGCGGCGAAGCATCTCGTCCAGCCTGGGCCGTGCTCTGCATACTCACCCCTGGCTCCCCCTGGCGTTTGAAGTTTTGAAGCTTGTTGAACCCTGTTGGGTTTCGGGGGCGGTCGTGCGCGCGGGTTTTGGGCTCTTCCTCGCCGGGAGACCACCTGAGGCCAAGCTTCAGGAGATTGGGGACGAATGTTTGAATGGTTGCGAGTGGCACAGCGTCTGCGACATCCTGAACCTCACAACCCGGACAACCCCCGAGACTTCCCGCAGATCCCAAGCCTCGCATGATTCCAGACCCTACGCAAGCCTTGCCTAGTTGATCCAATGAAACTATATAAACCCTGAACACATCAACAAACCTATCCTTACTGTTGACCATTGGCCACAACTTCTCTTTTAACAGCACTTGTGGAGCTACAGCCCCTCGGCTTGCCACGCCACTCCCACAGCTGTTTGGCTGCCTGGCTTTGCCTGAGAGTAGGCCACTGCTTCGGTGTGTCAGGGCGTTTTCTTTTCCCACATGTTTGCGGCTCTGGGCCTTGTGATGTAGGGCGTTTAGGGTCTCCAACATTCTGCGGAGCATTGACGGTCATACCATTCTACTTGCGCACCCAATGTACCAAACGAAGAGCCAACATGCGGAAACCTTCCCATCGTCTGGTCGGAACTGCCCTGAATCCTAAACCCTGAGTGTATGCAAGCCCGGCAAGTTGAACACTGGAACCGGAGAGCTCCAAGAAAACAAAGACGCTGCATGTTGCACTCTACGACAGTGAACCCCAGGATAGCCCCCCTTAATGCTTTTGGAAGGCTCACCAGCCCACAGAATGAGAGTTGTTACAATCGGAACCGAGATTCGTCCAGTCCTGGCGCCAGCTGCTCAGCGACACCGGCTGGCCCCCTTTCTGGGCCTGCTCCGGTACTGAAATCAGATCAAATCAGATCCACAAGCCCGACCTGCCTGCCCAGCCCGGCTTCACAACTCTTCGACAGTTGCAACAGATCCGAAAGACATGGAAGACGAAACGACTTCTGATAAGAGGCGGGTCTGCAAACACGAAAGAGTCCTGGCCTGCAGCTCTTTCAGCTTACGCCGGTAGTCCCGCCAGGCGGCACGTTGCTGACGCTCGCAGCAGTCCAGGTAAGGGACGCTCTCGAACCTCGGCTTCTGCCATGCTGCCGTGGCTTTGGTGAGGGTTTCGGGGCTTCGGGTTTTAAAGGGCATCGTGGAAGCTCTCAGTCACCCATCACAAATGGCCAAGCCAGGTTCAATCATCCTCAAGACCTCCGCCTTTCCTGAGCCAAAGAACTCACTCGAGGGTGTTGGATAGGGGGTCAAAACTGAAAAGCCTACCGTTGAACTGAGCATGGCCGGGAGATCTTCAGGCTTGAGTGGTTGTCGCCTTTGTAAACTGTCAAGGCTCACAGGTTTCAGAATTACGCTCTCCCACATTGCCGGCAGGTTGTTTGGAAGCAAACTTCCAAAAGCACTTCCTCTCCAAGTGTGCAAAAAAGGGCGATTACCAAATCTACAACGAGGTCTTCTCCCAAGTGTGCAGGCCAGGAACATCTTCTGCATGTGGCTGAAGTTGGCCTGGCTCACTGACTCGGGCTGCTCGCCCTTGAGTTGGTAGAGGTTTGGGTCGTAGCCTTGCTTGAAGGCCTGGATTTCGTAGAGGGGATCGTGCATGGAGGTGTTCCTTGGCTGTTCGGCGTGCCAGTGCAAACCCAAACCGACCCCCAACTAGCACCCCGCCAAAAAAGCACCCCCCCCTAAGCCCCAACCTCTGAAAAGCGAGTGCGCAAGCGTGACGAGGCTCTTCATGGCCTGCTTGAGCTCGTAGCTCTGCCACACCTGCACCTTCCTGGGCAGCCTTCGGGTCATGGCCGTCTCCTGCGAGGGCCTCCAGATCGTCATGATGTGCAGCTCCCCATAGGGCTTGGGCACCAGCTCCCCCTTCTCATTCTTGGACAAAGGGATCCAAAGGTTGTTGAAGGGCTTCTTGTGGTCGCTGAGGTCCAGGGTGGGAGCACCCCCCAAGAACTGTGGCATGAAGTGGGCCCCGAAGACCGCCATCCGGATCATTCCCAGCTTCTCCGTTTGCCCAACGTGCTGCAGCGTCCGGGAGGTGAGCTCCAGCTCGAAGTAGAGATTCGGCATGCTCCGAGCCTCAAGCAAAGGGCTCTTGAACACCCAGCCTCCGGAGGCTTTGAGCTGCTCTTGGTCCCCCCAACTCGGGTTGCTGCCCGAGAGCGCGGGTGACATCTGAACCTTGGAGCCCTTGTAAATCAGCTCCTTCCTGCGACCCTCCTCGCTGTTCAGCAAGGAGAAGCTGGCCTCCGTCTGGAGATCGAGTTGCAAACTCTTCTGCACGGAGGCCTGCCAGTCCTGCTCCTGCTGCACGCGCGTGGGCCTGAGATGCCTGGCCTCCACCAAGATCACCTCTAGGTGCCCACTCTGTGTAGAGTAGATCTGGGAGTCCAGGTAGGGACGGTTGTTCAGGGCAAAGGCGCTCTTCTTCTTGAACTCCTGCAGCTTTTTCACCTGCTCGCTGATGTCCATGCGAGCAGCCTGCCGCAGCACGGTGATGAAGTGGTACATGTCTGCCTCATCCTTGGCATTCAAGCACAGTGACCACTCGTACTGGCAGTCTGTTGGGTTGGCATCCACGGGCAAAGGCCCAGCTGCAATGCGGTAGCTTCCGCGGTGGCCACTGAGCATCTGCATGTCATCCACGGCTCCATCAATCAAGCGCGGGTTGTAGTCATTCCCGGCCTTGTGCGGGTGGATGTGGACGATCTCATCCGTCGTGGTGATGGCAGCGTCATAGACATTGAAGCTGGCAGACTGCACGCTGGTGAGGCTGGTGATTGGTAGCCCCTTCAGCAGAACACGCCTACGGACCCGCTCCCCGACGTCCCCAGCGCCCACCGGAGCACTGCGGATGGCAGTGTCCGAGATGTCCGTGTGCTCGCCGATCGCTGCGGCGCCCAGGAGCCCAAAGGCCTTGTGCGGGGCCATCTCCCACATCTCCACGAAGTTGGGAGCCAACTCGACATCACAGGTTTGGTCCGGGTACACGGCCAGGACGGTGGCGGGAATGGAACGGACCACATGCGTCAACATCTTGATGACTTGAGGCTGGTACGTTTCCTCCCCGTTTGGTAGCGTCTTCACCGCATTCACCTTCTGCGATGCCAGGTACTCCATGATTCTCCAGAAGGAGCCTTGGCACAGTTTGTTGCCAGAGCTGCAGAACACAAGAAAGCAAACTTCAGTAGTGCTCCGGGCCATACCAGACTCTAGACTCGGCTGAAAGAAAGAGAAACAGACAGAGAAAGACGACAAGAGGGAGAACGAGAGGGAGAGAGCGAGGGAGAACGAGAGGCTGCTCAACGAAGGTCCTGCCTGGCTTCAAGGAATTCTGAAACTCGGCTTCGTCCTTCGGCAACACAAACCTGCACGAGCGACCATGCGCAACGCAGCGTACTTGTGCTTTCCATCATCTAAAGTATAAGCAAACCGAAGCCCCCAACTCCCAGCATCCAAGGAGCTTGTGTGGGATCACTTCGCCGGTGGCGTTGGGCATGTAGCGCTGCTTGAAGGGCTCCGGGGGGTCGAGCTTGTCCAAGCCGCTGGCCTTTGAGATGTTGTAACACGTGGGGCTTGCTTTTCAAAAATAACGAACCCTACGTACCCATACGGTCAGAAGGGAGAGCCTGTAAAGACGAACAGTCTGCTGAGATGACCTATGGCTTGCAGGTTCTGTGAGTTTCGGGTCGCTTCCCTGGGGACTTGTACGTAAGTGCGCAACTGCCTGATTCTGGCAATTCAGGGCTGACCAAACCAACCTGCCGTAAGCCCAAAACAGGAGAACACCTTAAAAACCCGAGCTTCAATCATACCTTTTGCATCTGGGCTCCCAGCGATGATACCTGAAACCTGAACCCCGACGCGCTTTGAGAGCCCAGCAGTAACAAAACGCAGGCAGCTTGGCACCTACTTTGCCTATTTTGCGGGTGGGGGGAGGAGAGGTGTCTTCAATATTCTAGCATCGTTGGGATTTATGAGGGGCACCCTTCATTTTGGGGAACAACACCCAAAGCCCTAGGCCTAAATGATCGAATCGGCCTTGTACTCAAAGGTGGCGCATGGGTCCCGCAGGGGCGCCTCAAAGAAAGCGTTGGGCGGGGGAGGTTAGGGTTTTGGGTTTTGGGCCTTTTTTGTTTGGCACCCGACTTTTGGGCCGTTTATGGTTTAGGGTTAGGGTGTTAGGGGTTTTAGGGTTTTTTTTTGGCACCCGCATAGCTGGACGAACCACTCCGCAGGGATTCCTGGTCTTCGTGACTGGTTGATTGAAAGGAGCGGACAATGCCCTCAACCTGCTTTGCAAGCCGACGTCGGCCGCCCTCCCTGGCGTGTGTTCGCAAACCATGCAGCTAAGCAACCAAAGCCCTTATCCCACCGGTTTTTTTTTAGGGTTTGGGGTTCTCTTCAACCCATCTTTTTGCTTTAGGGCTCCAACGACATCCTAAAGGGTTCAGGGTTCTGTCCGCCGGGCTTCCACCCTCAAGCCTCACAAATCCTCCTCCTACACCTTCAAGAGGTCTCGTGTGAGAAGAGCGGCAAAAGAAGCCTCACTTACCTTCCTATTCCTAAAGAAGCTACCCCCATGAACCTTCCAAGCCCCCAAGCAAAACCTCAGCTCCATCTTTCGAGGCACTTCCCAGGCTGCCGAGCTCGGGCCACGACGGATGCGCGTGCCATCGAACCTGGTCCATGCTCGGAAGGGCTGCAGGGCTTTAGGCCGTTTTTTGGGGGCTTCAAGGCGCTTTTTGTTGCTCTTTTGGGGGTACCTTAGGGGTTTAATGAGCCGGCAGAAAGGGTTTGCTAGGCGCTTGGGGCGTTCGGCGTCAGCAAGTAAAGGGCTCCCTTTTTGAGGCTGCCGGAATTAAAGAGGGTGAGCCTTTCAGACCTTCGAGCCTTGCACCTTAGACAAGCCCACAGGTTAGCTTCTAGCGTCCAAATGGTGTGAAGCCGTAGCCCTCTCTTGAAAGTTGCCCCGCGTTCGGCTCTCGCCCTAGCACGCTGCAGGCGCAGCTCTGTCGTTTCTGAGATTCAACTTTGGTCAGAGTTTCTGTTTGTGGGTCTTCAAGAAGTCTTCCGGGTTTTCGGCCTTCTTTGATCTGTTTATTTGGAGGGCTGCAATCCTTAGCATGCTGCGGTCCAGTGGCTCTCCGGGCGTGGCGTTGTTCAAGAAGTTGCGGTACTCCACCTGAGTAGGGGCTTGCTTTGCACGTGGTGCTATCATGTGTCGTGACTCATTGCTCTTGCTATATTTTGCTTATGATATACTGCTACTCCTGCTGCTGCTCCTCCTCCTCCTGCTGCTGCTTCTACTGCTACACGACGACTACTACGACCTTTCCGACGACTACGACAACGACGACGACGACGACGACGACGACGACGACGACGACGACGACGACCACGACCACTGCTTCTACTATTACTACGACTACAACGACTACTTTCGCTACCATGCAAAACTACCACGACATGAGGGTTCATGGCTCCGCACCTCATTGGTCGGGTAGAGGATTGGCTCCTCCACTTTCAGCATGGCCTTGTCCCCCACGCAAAGAACCTGAGTGATGGCTTACAGCGATCAAGTAACAACTGTCGAAAAGCTTGAAGCATTGCCAGGCACGATTGTAAAGAATTTGCCAGGCACGATTGTAAAGAATAAATGACTAAAGCAAGATACAACATATTCCAGGCAGGCCCAGCGACCCCTGCTCTCAGGGAATCCTGAGCAGTGTGGAGCCGGGCGTAGTCGCGATCTCGGAGCGCAATGTCCATTACCACCACGGCCGGTGTCTCCACAGGGCTGAGCTCATCCTTGGCAACCCCATAGTAGGTAGGGGATGCCCCTGCCTTCGCAAAGAGAACGCCTGCAGACTGCCTTGAGAAGTCCAGCGTCATGCCATCCACGAACCTTTGCTGCTGCTGCGCGGGGGCCCTAGACAGCACCCCTGGTAGGGGGTGAACCATACATGCGCCAGGAAAGCGAAACGATTCTTAAGAACACCCAAGCAACAAGTCCGCGTGGTACACCACTTCGGAGACAGGACTGTACGGCCCTGACTTGCCATTCCTCGCCAAGAGCTCATTGAAGTTCACAGCCGGCACCTCGTTGACCAGCGTTCGCACAACCTGCACACGCACTTTGATGGTTTCGGCATTGCTCCAACTTCCTGGCGGCAGGGGGACGAAGATAGTCGCGCCCTTGAAGTCGATCTTGGAACTCTCCAGTGGGAGGATTGCGTTCCAGGTCTTCTTCGGTCGGCACAAAGCCTTGGTGGAGGCACGAACTCCGTTGCACCTGGCCTCCACGTGATACTTGTAGAGCCGGGTCTCCTCCACTACGTCGTCCGTCGGGAAGTCGATCTCCCGGATATTTAGCTCCACCATGTTGGCCACACTCAAGCTCCGGCCAGCAGTCGGATCCAGCCAGGCTGCCTTGTGTGATGTGAACAGGCTGCAGGTGGACCCGCGCCCCTGCAGCTCAGGCGACACGGGGGTCTTTGTGAGCAAGGAGTTAGGACTCACCTTGGCGAAGACGTCTAGATCCACATGGGCCTTGAGCGGGAGGATGTCCGAGAGGTTCACTGTGGGGTGTTGCAGCCACATACGCCGGTTGCTCTTCAGAGTCCCACTGCGGAGCGACTTCGTCATGGACTGCACCTGCTCGCGCGTCTCCTCCATGATGCCCAGGGTCGTCAGCGCTCCTTCGCCGACAAGCGTCGTCAAGGCCGATGTGGGTGGCGGGTCCATGGGCTTCGGGAGGTCCTCCTCAGCAACAAAGAGCTTCCACAATGGCAGCTTGGCGGCCCAGATCGTCCGGTTGTTGTCGGGCGTTTCGGGATCGCACTCCACAATGTCAATGCCAACCTCCGAGGTGTCCAGGCAGGCAAGGCCTCCCTCGCCGGGCGGAATGGGAACCTCGGCAATGAACTTCCCCGAGTAAGGGCCCTGGTACCTAGGATTGCTTCCGGTGGCTTTTGTGCTGCGGAATCGCCGGCCGAGCATGGTCACTTCCACATAGGTCTGAAAGTCGGATCTGGGCAAAGACTCCATCTCCTCATCACCGAAAACTTCGACCTGGCCCTCTTCCGGCAGCTCCTTCCGCAGGTCCAGCACATCGGCGGAACGAAGGCCAAGCTCCAAACGGAACCACTGGAGGCTTTCAGAATCGGCCAGAGCCGCGCCCAGGGCGTTGCCATCACTGGAGCCCACGACTTGCTGGAAAGCCTTTTGCGTCTCTGGGTCTGTGAACATCCGGAGCGCGCGGCCCCAGCCGACCCGGGGACCGTGCAACGTGAACCAAACCCCCGAGCAGCTGCTGGGAGGCAACTGCTCCCCTTGCCGGGTCTTGGCCAAACTGCGCTCGGAGTGCAGGACCACGGAACTGATCTGGCTGAGGTTCACAAAGTGACCCCAGCTGGCACTGTCCAGGATCGAGGCATCACCCCCTGCCTCTGAGAAGGAAAGCATGGTGAAATTCTCAGAGATGTTAAAGGTCATCTTCTGCAAGCTGACATTGACCTCGGAGTAGCTCGCGGACTTCGCGGCGAAATCCTCCAGGGCCTCCATTCCTTCAGCCGGCAATGTCAACTTCAAGACCTCCTGAGCAGAAAGTGAAGTGAAGGCGCCAAGCATCGTCACTCCCTTCATCATCTGCTGCACACGGGTGTTCACATTGGTGCCCAGGGCATAGGAACGGTCGAAGATGTGGTCTTGGCGGAAGTGTCGGAACCTTGTCTGCACCTGAGCAGCATCTGAAATTCACAGAGGCGATTCGGCAAGAATATAACTTTAGCTTTTGTGTGTGTGTGTGTGTATGTATGTGTGTGCATGCTCGTGTAAGCGGACGCGGGCGCAGGCGCAAGCAAGCGCGTAAGCAAGCAAGCGTGCAAGGGCGCACGGGTGTGTACTGGTGTGGGTGCGGGTGCAGGCTGGGACGTGCGCGTGTACGTGCTTTCTTCCGTGCTTTCTTGTGTGCATGTGCGCGTGCATGTGCCTGCGCGCGTGTGCACGCACGAGTTCAGAACGAAGCCGGCACCTTGTTGATGGCGGCTAGCCGAATCATGGCCGGAGACCTTGTAGACTGCTGGTTGATTCGGTCCATCTTGTCCCTCAAGAACCTCCAGGGCATCAGGGCTTGCGGGAGGAGGCCCGGGCTTGTAGGGCTTCGGGGGAAGGGTTCTCTTCGGGGCTGCTGTCTTCTTCTCACAGAGACTTGAAAACCTCAAATGCTTTCTGTCCCCAGCCTTCAACCTCAGGGCTTACCCACCACACGTCCTGTCGTTCACTTCTGAAAGCCTCCTCAACCCCTTAACGCCCCAATCAACTTCAAGAAACCCTCAAACAGCTCTCTCCGACCTGGCGGCCCAATCCTGCTGCTCCTTTCGCAGCTTCTGGTCGTGGCTCTTCCTTGGTTCAGGACATCGTGTTGGCTCATGGGTGCCCACCATTGAGTTTGTGCGCCGGCACTGAAAAGGCCCCTCCAAAGTCGGACTTCCACCTCAACGTGGTGGAGGGGTGGCAACTCCTGCACTAAAAGGTTGCGAGCTGTGCGTGTGCTGAGTTTTTCTTGTGGTTGTTGTTGTGTGTCGCGATTTGAGTTTAAGTGGGCAGGAGGCTAACGGAAGCCGCAGGGCGGGGTCTACTGAACTGGGTTCCGGGGCCTCCCTCGGGGGGCAACCCAGGTAGGTACCTTGCCGACCGCGCGCTCGGGCTGGCAACCCGGGTGCTTGTTTTCTCTTGCTACCGCACAGGTTACGTTTAACCGACCTTTGTCACTGAAACCGCACCATCCAACTGTGACTCCCGGACAGGGGAGGAGCCAGCTGGGGAATCGGTGGCGTCGGGAATCAAAGATCACTTGGGGGTGTTGGAATGTTCAGACTCTGCATTCTTCTCTTGAGGTTCTAACCTCTGGGGAGGTACACGTGGTGGGTAAAGATCCTTATAAGTTAGACAGTTTGTGTGCTGAACTGGGAAAGCATAATCTTAGTCTGTGTGCAATCTCTGAGCATAGATGGAGAGGGGAGGGGCACTGAAAAGGCGGCCCTCTGTTCAAGGCTACGTTGCATCTGCCATGGGAGGGAGGGAGGGAGGGAGGGAGAGAGAAAAAGAGAGTGGAACCCCGAGTGCCCTCTCCGAGCCCCGGGACCACTGGCTTTGCGCAGTGGGCTTGTGCGGATGTACCAGGATTCTGCTGAGGGTTATGGAACGCTTTGTGTTCTGCTTCGTGCTGCTCTGCGCAGTGGCTTTGCTCATTGAGCGAAATACTCAAGTTGTTGCTGGGCTGACGACAGGCCTTTCCCACCCTTGCTGTCTTTAATCATGTTAGTCAGGTCTCGAGGTCGTTCTGCCCGGTGCTGATATGCTCAGGACAGGCTGTGTGTTTAGGGTGAGCGAGCCTGCTGTCCAAGCTGCCTTCATTCAGTTCTGTGCACAGCTTTTCCTTTGGGGATATTTGGGCTCGCCACCCAAAACACCGAAACAGCGGCCGAGATTCTGCAAGTACACCAGGCGTGCCTTGTTCCAAGCTCGGCTCAGGTCCAGCCTCAGTGATGTTTCTGGAAAAAGGGCTTTAGAAGTTGGTTGGGAGTTTGAGTGGAAGTTTATTGGGAGTTGAGGGAGCTGAGGGAGTCGAATGCCCCCGAGGCACTTGGTGAGCCGCATGGCCAGGCCACGAATGAGCCGGCGCGTGTTCTCCAGCTCTCTGTGGTAGTTGAAAAGGGCGTTCCAGCCCTTGGTCATGATGGATCCTGCCACCCTACCGATCACAAAGGCCATTGCCTCGCGATCTGTGGCATTGAGCAAGTACTTGGACATCCGGATCGCTCGCTCCCAACTCTTCACCTCGGACACATCCTTGGAGTACAGAAAGACCGGTCCCCAGGCGCGCTCCTTCAGGAGCAGCCGCACCCGGGCCTCGTAGCGAGGAAGGAAAGGCTCCTCGATGCCCACCATGTCTTTGGTCTCAAACCTACAAGTCGCCTCCCGGATGTTGTAAAGCTTGTGCCTCTCCCCTGCATACTCCGCACCATCAGCCCTGTAGACCCTCATGATGCCGGACTGCAGGGTCCAGTAGCGGTACTTGTACCAGCCCCAGGGGTACTTGCTCCTCTTGACGAGCAAGTGTCGCGTCAGGGCCCTACTGGTCTTCTTCAGCTTGCCGGTGCCCACATACCGGCCATCCGGAATCGGGGCCGTGCCATCCTGCATGGTGGCGATCTTCACGCGGGCCAGCCCGTCCCGCTCCTGCATTTCCTCTGGTGACCTCCGGGCGCCGCAAGGGGTATTGGACATCTTGGCTAATCCTACGTCCGAAAAACCTAGGGAATGGAGGAAGCAAGCAAAGAGCAAAAGAGATGTGCGAAAAAATTAAGGAGGCCTGGCCTGTAGAGGCCAGTCTTCTCATCAACAGCGACGTTGGGGCTGCCATAGGCGATGTCATCGATCTCCATCTTGGCTGCCGCAAGTAGCATCGTCTGCTTGATGAGCGTCCGGTAGGCATCACTCTTGTTGTCATCCTTTTTTCCGCCCTTCTTCGAGGCCAGCCAGTTCTTGAAGACTTTCACATCCTTCTTCTCCCCAACAGCCGGCTTGATGACCTCGGGTTTCCGCGGTTGTCGCAGCCCCACTGGGCCATGGTTCGTTCTGATCATGGGACTTTGCCCAGCTACACCAAAAAAAGGCCCCGCTTCCTTCCTGCCTGCACTTAAGCCTGACAAGAACTGCAGGGAAGGGCAAGTTGTGTGAAAGAAACTGCGCACAAGAAGGGCTTCCCCTGATTCCGTGATTCATGCAACTGCTTGGAATCGAAGCTGCTAGTCAACTTTTGTCCACGAGGTCGCCAGCTTTGCGGTAATTGCTCAGGGCTTGCTTTAAGCCTGTGAGCCTAATTCGCTGTATGCCCCGCGGGCCGGACAAGCTTCGGCAAATCAAGCTGCAGCGGCTTTACGCCGCAACACCGCATAAGTTCAATCCCTGCCACGACTTCTCACTACAGTCGTCTGCCTGAGCACGCCCGCAGCTAGATGTTGAAGCAGAACCATGGGCACGCACTCCTCCGGAGTGGTGACTCTGCGCACAAAATGGCACAAAAGAAGACGGCATGTGGGCAGTTCCGAAGCAAACCCTGGCAGAACCCCAGGTTAGATGGCTCGGCTCAGCTCGAGACATGTCGATTTGCTACAAAACCGCACGCTTCTCGATTGCACCACTGAGTGCATTGAAAACAGTGAAACCCAAGCTGCTGATATGCATCTCACACGCAGCCTCGCACAGCCTCAACTGCGTCTGGCTATTCTGTCTCCATTGGTTCAGCTCAGCAGCTTACACCCCGCCAACGCATGACTGTATAGCCAGGCCCATTGCGCCTGGCAAGTTTTGCAGCCACCCAGCAGCCTGCCTCACATTGCCCAGCACTGGCTTTGTTTACTTTCTGCTGCAAGCGGCCCGATGTGACACTCAGAAGTACACAAGCCTTAATGACGTCGCCCGCCTGCTTTACCGTGCAACTCGATGTCAAGCTCAAGACGCCTGCTAGCGCGGGGTTGTGTGCCAAGCAAGAGCGTCGAGCATCGTCTACGGACCCTGGCCTGAAAGCACGAACCACGATTCCAAGGTGCCGATGGGTCACAGAAGGCATCGGCAACAGCTGCAGTCAACCCCAAACCCTCAGAGCTGACACAGGCCCAACGCCTGGGGCAAAGCCTTCGTGCACTGCCCGAGGTACCGAAAGGTCTCCTTCGCGATCTTGCGTTTTCAAGGTTGCACAAGGGTTCACGGGTTCCGCGGACAAGTTTGCAGTCTGGGGGCAGCAGTGGAGCAACAATGCACGAAGCTACGAGCCATCAGGCTACGAAATGTGTGGAAGCAAGGAAGGATTGAAGTCCCACGCTGCCTGTGCTACAGAAGAAGCATCTGGCAAGAAAGACATCTTCATACAGCCTGCACAAGCTCTGCACCCTAAACCCATGACCGAGGAAAACTGTGCACATCACTCCTGGATCTCTGCATAGGACTCGTTTGCCGACTGTGGAAAATTCCTCAGCTTTCGAGGTCAAGGTTCAGGGTTGGAGGCCCTAGATCCTAAGCCCTCATGCCCTGCATCCAAATCTGCTTGCGACTTTAGGGCAGTCCACCCTCACACCCTCAGCCACATGAGGCGAAGCAAAGATACAACTACGATAAGATGCGGAAGAAGAAGATAGAAAGCACCACTGAAAGGCCGCTGGTGAAGGCAGTCAGAAACCAAAAGGTACCTTCTTTCACTTTCTAGCCAAGCACAAAACCCCACAGTGCATACCGGAATGCCGAAGGTTGGCCGGCTCCGTGCCCACCTGGAAATATCCAGATTGTTTTTTGGTTCCGCCGACTCAAGACGAGAGGGTTCTACGTACAAAAACTCAAAAAGCATGCACACCATATATTCACACACAAATTCACCTCTCTCTGCAAACATGTCTATATATCTATATATATATACATGTACATATATATATATATATGGTAGGCCCCCACCCCCGAAGATCTTTGAATTTTCAGTGTTTTGGGCACTCCACATACCCAAGCGACAGCGGTAGACAGCCCAAACCACTAAAATATGTGGGTCTTTGCGAGGGGGCCTTGAAGATGCTATAGAAAACTTTGCCAGGGCATGTGAAATACTGAATCTCCGACCCCAGGGCCGATTCAGCACTCGACCTGCTTAATCGGCCCCTGGATTGAAGATTGAAGATTGAAGATGCTGGGGCACTCTCCCAGAGCATCTTCAATCTTCAATCCAAAGGCCGAGAAAGCAGATAAAGTGCTTAATCGGGATTGAAGGTGCTCCGGGAGAGTGCCCCAGCATCTTCAATCTTCAATCCAAGGGCCGATTAAGCAGGTGGAGTGCTTAATCGGCAGGGGTCTGGGGTTGAACTCGCTAACTCCTAAATTAACGAGAAGGAGATCCCTCTCTTAGCTAAGGGATATAAGGAGGGATCCCTAGAAAGGACCCGACATTTTGATGCCCAACCCTTGTGTAACCCCTCTCTGTACCTTTTACAGTCCCTATGTGCCTAAGTAGCCCCTACATTACCCTAAGTTCCCGTTTAAGGGTCCCTCCTCTCATCCCTTGATTTAGGAGTTGGCGAAAAGGGGTTCCCCTAAATCAAGAAGGCTACAGGGAACAAGCTTTAAGGAATAAGATTGCAGGGATCCATAGGATTGGACTTTTAGGATTTAGGGCTCTCCTCTTTAGGGTGTAAGGACGCCTTTGCTTAATAGGATTTGGGATATTAAAGAACGGAAAGAAGTCTTAGGGACAAAGTCTTAGGGGCCCCTGCCTTTAGGATTTAGCGATAAGGACTTCGGCAATTGGGTTTGTTTCTTTGAGACATCAGGGCTTTCCTCTTCAGGTTTTAAAGATGCCCCTCTTTAGCTTAGGGAATAGGACTTGGGGAATAATATGAAGGGAATAGGATCCAGGGACCCCTCTCTTCAATTTTAGGGAAAAGGACTTGGGGAATGGGATATGTTGTTTTAGGATAGGATTAACAGACGCCCCCGTTTAGAGGAAAGGGCATAGGATTTGGGAAACGATATTAAGCGAATAAAACTTGGGGAAAAGTTTTAGGGATCCCGCTCTTTAGGAAAGATGATGTAGGCAATAGAGCCATAAATCCTAAAGAGGAGACCCCCTAGATCCTAACGAATAGGAGCCCCAAAAATCCTCAACAACAAGCCCTATTCCGTAAATCCTTTTCGCTACAACCTAAAGCCCTAAAGAGTGGAATCCCAAAATCTTGTTCCCTAAATCTTATTCCCTTTACGCCAAGTTCTATTTCCTAAACCCT